AGAACATGTAAAAATTTCAAGAAATTAAAACCATCGCAGGCCTGTGTTATCAAGCAAACTTCTTTAAAGACTCACTCAACGGGGAAAAAGTAATCTCTAATTTGATTTATACTTTGTTTTATGAAATTAACAGTTTGTTGTGTACCTTATTATTTTTGGTTTAAAAAGTAAGAATTTTGTTAATCACTATGGTTAAAGCAACATTAGTGAAATTAAGCCATATATAAAAAATACCGTTTGTTATTATATATTTTTAAAAAATGCTAATTTACTTTCACTTCAGTTAATATACAAGTGAGACTAATGTGTGTATCTCAATTCAAGTGAAATCACTTCGATTGTGGCTCTGGGGTAAGTTTGGGGGATTATAACGCCAAATATATGTTTCGATCTCTGAGGTGAGCACAGAACAAATAACCATGGTGCAGTGTTAGATATACATGACTGTTTCAATTTAAGTAAAGCGCCAGTGTTAAATTTAGTTATTCTTAGAGTGATAGTATATCGCAGGTTTGTTTACGTAATTATGTATGAATGATGCGTTGTGTAGCTCAACTGTTGTGAATTGGTGATTGTTGTATTATTGCGTCATGTCACTAGAACCTTTTGAGTTTTTCTCGTTGTCTTAATTGAGTATTATTGCATCATAATATCTAATGTGTGGAAATGTCTAAACCTGTGTCGGGGTATAATTACGCGTCTGAAATTTAGTTCAATAGATAAACAGATCTAGAATGAGTGATTGTGAGTTTAGCCATAGAGAGCGTATAATGGCGGTTTTTAAAATGAAATTATCACAGACTGTATTGTAACCACAGAGCAGGAAGATTAATTCGTCTTGTCAAATTGGGTTCTAAAGTAACTGAAGCAGCCTGTATGGACTTTGACGAAATAGAGACGATTATTTAAAGTTCTGGATACAAGCGTGATAACCAAGAGTATAACGAACATTTATATATACGTTTGACTCTTTTTAATATATTATTTTCAGTGGACTGTGTGCTGTTTATTTATTGTTGAAATTTATCGCCAACAAGTCACAGATACCTACTGTAAAGAATCCGACCCATTACATAAAAACAGACATGCAGCTTTGTGCTGAAACAACAAACAAACAAAACTGTTGTTATTATCATAATCACATAAGCATTATTACACTACAAATCACGAATACGAAGAGAGTTTTATGTGTATTTGTAGGTTGAAAACGAGTGTGGAGTAATACCTATGGTTATTGTTCAGAACAAAATCGATATGATTCACGAGTCTGTTATCGCAAGGTAAGCAAAATTAGAAACTGATTAAAACTGTCTTAGAATGAACATCATTATATTTTAAGTTTATAAATGTCGTATTGTAGACTATTATTTCCCAAACTGTGTAAATGTATTATGTATAAATAAACGACAAACGTTAGAGGTATTTAATACATTTCGAGTTCCGCTTTCACAAGGGTTAGTGGCGTTTGTACACGAAATTAAGTCAGTGTTTGTACTAGAGATACTTTAAAATAACAGAATGTTAACCTTGCAGAAAATTAACACACGTTTGGTATTACTTCAAACAATTATCGGTAACACTTAAAGTGCTTTTCTTTTCAATGAATCGTTTAAGGTTTTTACATATATTATCAAATAGAATCACATTTCTATGATTTCTAATGTAATTTGATATACGCATTTGATAACTATATGGTAAACATGACGTTAGTATTCTTCTCAGACAGCTTGCTAAGCTGAATGATCTGTACTTCCTTTTAAACATTGTTAAGCTCTATTCCACAATTGTTCGATAGTAAACACAAATTAATTTTTTGTTCAAGTGAGCGTAACTATAGCAGTTAATCAAGAGTGGCTTACTAACTGCACCGTAGAAGTTAATTTGATTTTAGCATTTTCCAGTATTGTCTTTAATTGAGAGAGTAAGATTCGAAAATTTATTGTAAAAAGTAGAATAATAAACGTTTTAAGCATTCCATTTGTAAAACACAAAATTTACATTCACGCGATTGTAATTTTTTATATTTTTAAATGTGCAATTAATTAATATTACGCTTCACCCCAGTGGTTCAGCAGTAAGTCAGTGGGATTATAACGCTAAAAATTGGATTTCTGTACCCGTAGTGGGCACAGCACAGATAGCCCATTGTGTAGCTTTGTTCTTAATAACAAATAAACTAAAAATCTAAAATTGAACTTAGTTTTTGTTCCGCAGCAAAGAAGTCGAAAATTTGACCAGGAAACTGAGGGTTCCGATTTACAGAACGTCTGTGAAAGAGAATGTCAACGTGAATGAGGGTAAACAATCTTGATTACGTTGTCTGTCATGAAAATGTGTATTTTATACAAGTACTGAATGATCTAAACAAAGATAGTAAAACTTTATCACTAGTGAAATTTGTGTGCCGAAATCTATGGTGCATTTAATAAGAAAACTTATATTTAAGATTATATGAAATTAAAATTAAAGTTAGCAGATAACTAATGTTTAGGTTTGCGCCTTTATTAAAGCTGACATGTTAGCAATTGAGTGATTTCTTTTATCTACAGATAAGGGTCTTTTATTTAATATCTGAGTAACTCTTCGAGTATCTAAGTAATTATTTAAAAGATAATATTGTCTGTTTGTAAAACATTTTTACTCTTATCTGTAAAATAGTAACAAATAGTAGTAGACTTAAAATAAGACCCAAAACTCGAGCGCTTTCGAATAGTTGACTTATTTTAAGTCTATTACACTTTATATGCGATTCTTTGTGCTAACTCTTTTATCAAAACAAATAGTAGTGTAATTGAGAGACCACATTACATATAGTATGTGTATCCATACATCTACAGAAATATACATCTATTTAAGCGTTAATACATATATAACCTTTATGCATGAAACATTGTCAGCTGAACATTTTAGTTTATGAAAACAGTAAAAATAAACTATACAAAATTGATTCGTATTCAGTTTTTCATATGTAGCTGAGTTTAGATACATTATTCCAATTACTCTATTGCAAGGGAACGTTCATCTTCGACTGTAAAACTAATACTTATTTTTCGCTTCGCTGCATACAACATTTGTGACAGTGTCATTCTCTTGGATTATACGCAACGTTAGTTAGCGACTTAGCGTGATTTATCAGTTCAACTTGTAGCTTTGTATGTATGTATTCTCGACTAACTCCTCCCATAAGACTGGAGCTAGTAGGACAAAATTTGGCAAGCGTACGGGTCTCCTGAAGGTGTATTTATCTAAATAGCGTAGCTCACCTACCAAAGGGGGTACAAAGCTGGTCTTAAATGCTTCCGGAAAGTTAGCCAGGCATGATAAGGTCTAATAGGTGGTTTTCAGGGTCGTTGAATCCGAATGTTGTGTTTCTGGCCACTCTTAGTATCGAGTGGTGCCGGGTGAAGTATTGTATGTATATCTATATTTTTGTCTAGCTAACCCTTCCCATTGTTTTGGAGCTAGTAGCCCAAAAGTAGCAGGCGGACTCGGAATGGTTCGGTTATCTAGATGGTGGTTATCTAGATGGTGTAGCCCCCACTAAGGGTGGCTAAAATGCGCCCGCAAGGTCACCTAAGCATTTTTACAACTATAAACTATAAACAAGTGGTACACGAGGGACAAGCTTATTATACAAAACAGAACTACATGTAACAATACCACAAATAAACATAAAATCCCAAAACGAAATTATTTTATGTAATATCCACACTAACAGTACACCAGCAACAACCCTAGTAAGTATATACGTTTCACCTAAAGACAAACCAGACACTCAAACATTAAACTCGATTTACTCACAGTTACCGAAAACAATAATAATAGGTGACTTAAACAGCAAACACGTAGATTTTAATTGTAGAAAGACCAACAGGAACGGGGCAATTCTAAATAATTTTATAAGGTCGTTATTGATTGCTCCTGTGTGGTGAGTGTGTGTGTCATGATTGTGTCGTTGATAGTTGTTTGGTCGTTATTGATTATAAAATTATTTAGAATTAATCCTGTGTGATAAGTGTGTGTCATGGTTGTGTCGGTGATAGTTGTTAGGTCGTTATTGATTATAAAATTATTTTGTATTGATCCTGTGTGATAAGTGTGTGTCATGGTTGTGTCGTTATTCTAAATAATTGTTATTGATTATAATTGTTAGGTCCGACACAACCATGACACACACTCATCACACAGGAGCAATTCTAAATAATTTTATAATCAATAACGACCTAACAACGACACAACCATGACACACACTCATCACACAGGAGCAATTCTAAATAATTTTATAATCAATAACGACCTAACAACTATCAACGACA